GAAATCCAAATCCGAGTCGCGGAGATCGCAATCAAGCGTGTCACGCTAAGACAAAGCGACGCGTTTGAACGACAAACATTTCTCTTGCAGAAAAACGTTCGCAACTTTGGGGCAGGTTTAGTAGATGTGGAAATCAGATTTGAGTTTATGATCTTGTTTTCTATTCTTAAGTAAGCATAGGATGATTTAGGAACAAAACGGAAGTGAAAAAGGCTAAGGAGGAAATAGTTTCATTCTCAAAGTTTGACTTCCTTGTCAAAGCCGAAGGAAAGAAAAAGAGAGTAAGTTTTTGCGAAATAAACTACAAATAAGTTACTGGTGTGTTTTTAGCTTAGTACATCAGAAAAGAAACAGAAGTTTACTGGAAAAGATTACAAATCTCTTCTAAATAAGGTGGGTGTCTTTCAATTCTTTTAGTACTTCAATATACTCAAATTAGAAAAGTAGTATTCAGGTTGAGAAGAGGGAAGAGAAGCTGGAGAAATTACGCGAAAAGGAACCGAAGCTTGCCATAGAGATGGAAGATGACATCAGGTGGAATCGCGCTGTGAAGAAAGCTCAAGGAGTCAAAGTAAAGGCGTGTTTTGGATGTCTAGTTTTGATCTTTTACTTTACTGCAGTTCGCATCATAGTCATATCTGGGAAAAAATCTCAGCAACTTTAAAGGATAATGCAGAAATGCTAAAGAAAGGCCTAAAGCGCAAGGAAAAAATGAAGGAAAAGAGGAAGGAACAGTGGGCAGATCGAGAAAAGAAAGTGGAAAGAGAAAAGGCAAAGGTGACTCAATCAGACTCAAACAGCTTGACCCAAACAGTGTGTTAAAATAAAAGTGTTTTTAGAGGCAAGAAAAACGCATGGAAAATCTGCAAAAACGAATAGATCTTAAGAAGAAGAACAAACTTAAAGTAATGAGAAAGAAAGGACGCATTTTGTGAAAATTTCCCGTTGCAGATTTTGAATTATATCAGTGTAGTTTTTGTTGTTGGCGTAGTTGTTTTGTTTTGTATGATTATTCTGAGGGAAAGAATCTAACCTCATTGTTACATTTTCGATGTTTATGTATGTGAATAAACTGTTTTTGTTCTTTTTTTCATATAGCGGCAAGTGTAGCCGTAAATCTCCGCTTAGAATCAGCAGGTAAGAACGTATTTATTATCTTTAGAAATGGTGATAAGCATCATTCAGAAATTTCAGGTAAAGGATATCCAAACAGCAGGTAGTCGTAGTAGAACATCTTAACAAGCAGCTTCATTAGATAGGGTGAATTTCGTATTTGGCTTTCATAGTCAATCCGTGCCTTGCTGTTGTAGGTTTGGTGCATAGTTCGTTTGTGGAGCACCTGCAATTAATGCATGGAAACACATTTCCAGAGCTTCTGTTATTTGATTTTGCAGAGGTTCTTTTCCCACAGTTTCAGTGCTTCAGTCTATTCCGAATTCTCTGAACTCAGCTCTGATCCTGTCCGTGTACTGCATTTTTGGCCTTGGTCTTCCTGAGGACTTCAGCCATATGGTTATGATCATGATTTGTGTTCCTTCTCTTCTCAAGATCACAGTTGTCTTTTCTACTTTTTGGCGATGGGGACAAATTCCATCTTACTTGAACCGGGTCGTTGCGGGCTTGATCTTGCTGGATGATATCTAGTCACCTCAGCCTTCTCGTCTTCATAAAACTACATTTGTTTCCTTTTTTCATGTATTCGCAACAATTTGTGCAATGAAGTGCTGTTGGGCATTACAGTACGGTAAATTTAGAATCTGAGCTGCGCTGGGATCCACTTATCACAAGGTACTCTTGTGAAGGTTCTCCATTTCATCCAGGCTGCGCTTACTCTGGCTGGTATCGTCCTGAAGTCCTCCTTCAGCAGAGATTTGAATTCGTAGATATGAAGGAACTCTTCTTGATTAGCTTACGATGGACTTCAGTTCCCAAAGTTTGACTTCGTACTTTCATATATTCTGTCCTCTTAGTGTTACGCTTGAAGCCGTACAAGTTGAGTGTCTAATTGATACATCTTCTACAGCCTCGTTTCTTTTACTCCCTTTAAGAGCCCATAAGGTGTTGTAATGCCTTTCGTCCCTGTGCTATGAAGAGTTGTCGGCCTTCATGTGGAATGCTTCGAGTGCCTACTAGAGTTTGCACTTGACTCGTGGCTCCAAGTCATCTTTACTCATCGGATGTATTCTACTCTAACATTGCTTTCGCAATGCTAACCATATGTCATCTTGTTTATATTGTCAAAGGCCTTATACATAATCAGAAAAGTTGCATATAGCTCTTTTCTCTATATCTCTCT